ATATCTCAGCAAAGGAGCACTCCCTGAACCCACGGAACCGCAGGCCTGGGGCGGTGACGGGGCAGTGCTGGGCGGAGGGGGCTCAGGCCTCCAATTCCTGTCATTCCAAAGGTCCCATAAAAAGAGGCACACTCATTCTTCACTTCTCCCTGAAATCGGAGCCCTCCTCCTTCCTCCAATTGCACTGCGATTCCCCGGTGAGGATCCAGGGGGATATCTGATGGCTTCTGCCCTGGGCAGCCACGTTCTCCTGGAAGTTGGAAACAGTCAATGCGCGGAACCTCTGCAATAGTGAGGTGGGGGGCCTTGGTGCGACCGGGTGGGGCCAGGTGGGCCAAGCTAGGGAGCTGATCTCTTCTCCAGCCTTACTGGGTGGCACTGCCTCTGGCCCAGCCTGGCAAGGTGGGTGAAAGTGAGGCCTTTTCTAAAACACGTACTGTTCAATCCAACCAATATGAGGCCAAGAAAGAATAGACCAGGGGAAGCCGAGGAGGGCAAGAGATGGAGGCCGCAGGGGAAAAGAGGCGGCTCTTACTGTCTTGGGGAGGAGTCTCAGGAGGACGGCATGGAGCAGGAGGAGGCCCTGTGTCAGCAGCTAAGGTCTCCTGTTCTCTCTCTGTGACTGTGACCTGACAGATTGTGACTGGTTTACGGTGTGCTGGGCAGATCCGGCTGGTCCATAAGTGACAACGACGGAGAGTCCCGGTGTCTCTGGGCCAACTCCCTAGTGGTGGCACTCAACCTTGGCTGCACCTAGAATCACCTGAGGGATTCTTTATGAAAGGATGCCCTGGGGTCCCGTCCCTGAGAATGTAGTTCAATGTCAGGTAGGACCCCTGGGCCAGCTTGTTTTAATAGCTCTCCTCGTTTTCTAATGGAGAGCACCTGAGAACCCACAGACCTAAAGATGACCCAGCACCAGTCATCTTGCAGTATTCTTAGGCTGGATTCCCCACTGTGGACAGTCACACCGACAAGAGATTGTGCCTCAGTTTACCCATCTGTGAAGCTGACCCATTACCTACAAACTACCAGTCCCAATGCCTTGCTGCTTCCAAGTGTGGTCCCTGGACCAGCTTCACCAGCATCACCTGGGAACTTATTAGAAATGCAGACTCTCAGGCCCTGCCACATATACATTGCATCGGAATCTGCATTTTAACAAATTTCCAAGACTGATTTTGAGCTGTGGGATTGGTGATAGGGGTCCACTGAGACCTTGGGGTCCACTGCACTGTCACGGCTCATGAGGGCAGTGGTTCTAAGTTCCCTGAGAGGATTTGGCTGGGAAGAATCGAAGCACCTTTGACTTCTCCCTATACCCCATTCCCTACTCTGTGGGGGCTGCACCCCAGCTTGACGTCCCTCGGACCTCTGCTGAAGAATAACAAAAGAAGTGGCCTCTCTCCCTCCTGTGTTGCCAGCTCCCACCACTGAAGGCCAGGCAGCAAGAGCAGGCGGCCAGGAAGGCCTGGGGACAAAGACAGCTGCTGGGAGCAGAGCTCAGGGGCACTTCACAGCCTGGCCCCTTTGCAGCCAGCACACTAAGCTGCGTCTCAGAACTTGGGTGGAGACGTGGCCGCCAACCTGGCCACAGGAGGAGCATCTCAGAGGCTGCAGAACAGAACCAGGGCCTGGCTAGAGACGCAGAGCCAAGTGGGCCTTGTGTGGCTGGAGCTGAGAATAGATCCCACGGGGAAGGGGAGGGCAGGGCGCTGGGCCCAGGTCTCCCTCTCTCTGCCAGGAGAGTTACCCAACCAGGTGCGGCAGAAACACAACGGAAGCAGATGAGAGGCCCTCCCGCGGGTGTCAGGAGGGACGCAGGTGGGTGCTGAGCCTTGCTCTTCTTGGGCCTCTCTGGTCTGGGTGGTGAGTGACCCTGAACTATGCTGCCCGGAAGGCCTGCTCCACACTGCCGCATCCTGGGCTGCAGGACCAATCAGACAGCTGGGCTCCCTGCGGATGGGCCGTGTAGTCAGGGCGCAGCACAGACAGCGGCCTCCCAAGACAGCAACCCAGAGGTGGCCTAGGTGAAGCCTCTGGTCACACCCCTCAGGACTCCTCTGTAGCTCGCGGGAAAGCTGGGTTGTGGGTGGTGAAGGGGTGAGTGGTGGCCTGTGGGATGAGCCCCGCACACTCCATCCAGGCCCACGGCTATTGTCACACGGTGGGAACAAGCTCTGGAGCTCAGAATGGGGGTCGTGTCTGCCTCCAGGGGTTCCCTTCTAGCCAGGACCACAGCTGTCCATGGGCCAATGGCCTGGGAGAAGAGAGGGGTAAGCTTCTTCCTCTTCTGACACCCATTTCCCCATGGCCACCAAGGCCTGCCAGCACCAGGACACAGAGAGAAAGGAGCAGAGGGGGTCCCTGCCTTCCTGAGCTGGGAGGTGGGCAATGACAGCAGGGACCCTGCATCGCCGTGCTCCTGGGCTTCCCAGGAGGAGTCCGCGTCGCTCCCCATGGCACACCTCTAGAGGACAGAGCTGCCTTTGGGCACTGCCCACCGAATCCTCTGCCTGGCACAGGAAGACACTTAGGCTAGTCAGGTGGCTACCTGGTGATAGGAGCCCAGAGTCAGGGGGTTACAGCAGGATCCGTGGCGATCGGTGCCCAAGTGCCACCTAAAGTGTGAGTATGAGTCACCCTGGCAAAGGGCCGGGTATCTGGGATGCGAGGGGCAGTGAATTTTAGTTGGTGGCGGGGGCAGGAGTGGGGAAGGTGTCCCTTCGGATATAGCTGGAGGTTCAGCCTGGCGGCAGGGTGGCAGGAGCAGAATGTGGGAGTTACTGGTTCACCTCTGTCCCAGACACAAGGTGGCATCAGTAGGGTAGGCCTCTGTCACATGTCACTCATGACAGACCTATCACAGAGTTACAATGTGGGGTGAAGCAGTTGGTAAGAACTGGGGTGTGTAGAGGTGTGTGTGCTAAGGACTGCTTCATCCAGCGGCCAGGCCTGGGGATGTGTGAAAGGGAAAGGCCCAGATGGGTCACTTGTGCTCCTCTGGTGGCCCGATTATCTCTAGCACCCAGCAGGGCCAGACCACAAGGTGCACCCCGAGGGGCGACTGCAAGGCTGGGCTCCCACTGCCGACTGTCAGCCTCAGCCAGGTCTGGGCTGGTCCCCTGTCGTCAGGTCAGTGCGTTTCCCACCCAGGGAACACCCAGCACAGTGACCCTACGAGAACCTGTTAGCCAGGGGATGCGGATGGGACGTCAATGAGTGAAACTCAGCTTGACAGGCGCCTTTCCTGCTGGGACCCCCCGGAGCCCTCCTGAGCCAATGAGCGGATTTTGTGACTCACAGGGAAGTGGGTGCAGGGGTCACAGAGCCCCTTTGGTGGCTGAGAAGTCACAGGATTGATGCTCTGCTGGACATCTAGGGGCAAGGCCACTTTACCGTGGGTGGCTAAAACAGATGCCTGATCTTGGGCAGCCTCTGCAGCCAGCCAGCGTCCCTGGGTACCCTGTGCCCTGGGACTGTCTGCCGCTGAGGTGGCTGGGTTACTTGGAGTTGGCCGCCATGGTCTAGAACTCTTGCTTCACCCTGGCCCTTGTTTGAAAAAAAAAAATAATCCCCAAGCCGAGTGCAAGGCCGAGCTTGTCCACGGCTCCCCCGTGCCTGGTGGTACATGGCGACAGGCCTCTCTGCCTGTCACCCTCCACACTCTCCCAGGACATTCCGGCCTGCGAGGAACATGCCCAATGTGCAAATCCCTCAGGTAATGCGGGAATTCATCACCAGGGGAGCGCGGGCGATCCAGGAATGGGAACCTGATCAGCCCTGGAGCTGGACAGAGGAGCCCAGGCTGGCCAGGGAGGCTCAGGTTACAGTGCCCGGGGCACTCGGGAGAGAAAGGACGGACAGCAGGCGTGGGGCTCGGCAGGCCGCAGGTGGATAGAAAGCAGTGACCTCCTCTTGCTTTTAGCGAAAAGTCGGCAAATCATAAATCAGGTGGCTGAGGCGAAGGTGGACGTGCTACCTTGTTTACACCAGGCGCAGCTGTGAATGGAGTCCCTTGGACTCCCAGATGAATGGCAGTTTAGATGGTCGATCTGTGGTCACCCGAGTGACCAATGACCTGCGTGTGGTCTCTTGGGCTGTGCAATGTCTAGGTGACTGTTTGACTTTATTTGAACCAGCAGCTTGATTTGTATCTCAACTAATCTCTAAAATACAAAGTAGCAGGAGAGATGGCTTCTGCCCAGCCCAATCTCCAAGGATGGCCCCAGTGAGGCCACAATGCCAAGATACCTGCCATTTATCCCCAATGTCACCAGTTCACCTACGGCCACCCACAATGAAAGAGCAGATAGATGTGAGACAAAGTGGTACAGGGTTCAGTCTAAGTGCACAAGGCCACATCCACCACACATGCACTGCCATGATCATGGCTGGACCTGGTCTCCACGGAGGCAGGAGTGAGCAGGACTGGAGCTAAGCTGAAGGGATATCGAGTGGGAATGCACCAAGGACGAAGCAGTCTTGGGCTGCCATGCTTTCCCTCAGCCCAGGACCTGCCGTGCGTCAGCAGACAGGCCATCTGCGTCCTGTCCCCCCCAAGGCTCTGCTCAAACCCATCTCAGTCCCAGCTATAACAACTGCACAGCCACCACGCTCTGAGAGGCTGACCCTGGGGAGAGGAGAGAGGTCCACGGCAAGTTCACGTCTGCTCAGACGTGCAGAGGTCAAAGCACAGAGCCAGCCGCCGTCTCTCTTATCATGAAAATAGAAAGCGGGAAATGCTGGTTGAACAAAAAGCACCTATAAAATTATATTGGTCCTTTGTAACCATGGAGCACTCATACAAACACACACAAACCCGGCCGCTCATCCCTCGCCCCTGACTGCCTTCTGATTTTCTATAATTAATCAGGCAATGGAGGAAGGAACTTGGGACAAGTTCAAGTGTGGTCAGAACTTGCAGCCTCCTCTCTAGTAATAACCCACGGCGCGGAGGGGCAGGGGGCATGGGGTGGCAGCTGCTGGTGTCGGGTTACCTGGAGCATGTTGAGGAGCAGGCTGCGGAACTTGGTCCCTTCCACCATGAAGAGGGCCATCTTGTCACAGAGCTTGGCAGCCGTGAAGGCGAAGCTGCGGTCTGACACGGCCTTCTGGTAGATGGTCCTCACGATCTCGCCCAGCATCTCCTCGGAGTTGGTGGAGTTCTGGGCCTCCTCCATGAAGGTGGTGAGCTTGGCGTCCACGTCGCTGCTGTTGTTCCGCATGCTGTTCAGGATCTCGATCAGCTTGTCCATCTTGTTCTGCTGGGGGCTGGTGGTCTCCACGGCCACTTCATCCTGGGCATGTGGGAGGAAACCGAGCGTGGCTGAGCGCAGCAGAGGTTTCTGCGGGGCGCGGGTGGCCTGAGGGAGTGCGGGCTGTCACCCCAGAAGAAGGACTTGAGGTCCTTTGGGAACGCTTACCCACCAAGGGCCCGCATGCCCCAAATGCTCTTTGCTGATGTTTTTCTGGGCCTTGGTGACACCCTAGTTGACATTGCAAGTTCTAGTTCCTACCTAGGATTCTCATATACATTGGGGTTTTGTCTGTCTGTCTGTCTGCCTATCAGAAAGGATTTAATGGGATCTATTTATTTATTTTCTGTGGTGCTGGGGATTGAACGCAGGACCTTGTGCATGCGAGGCAAGCATTTTACCAACTGAGCTATATCCTCAGCCCCGAGGGGTTCAAAAAGAAGGAATATGATAACACATCTTATCTGAACAAAACAGGTGAGAGCAGAAGACCAGGCTGGGAATGCGAGTAGGGTACAAAATGCCTGCAGGGGTGAGAGGTGGCCCAGGGTTGGCCCCATGTCCTCCACACCCTTCTGTTCCCAATGCCCAGGGGTGGTTGTGTTCTCTGGGCACAGGGTTCCCTGTGGAATCCTCCCTGGTTTTATGTCCTATGGAACTGAGGGCCTCTGCACACAGATGCTACACACCAAGGAACCTTCTACAGTGTCACTAAAATGGCTAGGACAAAACCCCTCCCGCCCTTTGAGGTTTTACTGGCTGAGACCAGGCTAGGGGCTGGAAAGAAGGAAGATGGCATCTAGCTATCTCAAAAGTACGTACTCAGGACAGCAGATGGGTGGCCAAGAATGCAGGCGACTTCACTGCTGAGATGTGAAACCCAGTCCAGGGGCAGGATCGGGGTCACACAGCGATACCCCGTCCTGCTTTTGCCCTGTTCTCAAGACACGCTTTTTCATGGACCTGAGCCTGCACCCTCCTGAGGACAGGCCTCACCTGGGACAAGTCCCTGAAACTCATTTATGGGTACTACAGAAGTGCCTGATCTGTTCCATTGTTCACGCACCTCCCCACCTTGACCACCTGGGCCCCTCGGCAGGGACCATGGTCTGCGTGTTGAATAACCCACGAGGGGCGTTACACGTCTTATTTAATCTTCACAGTCTCTTTGCAAGTGGGGGGGGGCATATTATACCTAGTTTGCAGAATAAAATGGGCTCAGAGAGGTGGTTGACTTGCTTACGGTCACCCAGCCAATCCAAAGCAGGGTGAGGACTGAGCCTGGATGCTAAAGCCCAAGCGGTGTCCCCCGTGCTGCTCTGCGCTCTGCTTGGCAGGCCTCTGGAGAACTCAGAATCCTCCCCCACGGCTCTAGAAGCTGTCCTGGAAGCTCTCCGGGCAAAGCCACACGCTGGCCATCAGCTAGGAGGCTCAGCCAGGAGGCCCACTTTGGGAAGTCAGGAAATGAGGGAGGATTTCTTCTCAGCCTGTGGCCCTTGTCCCCACAGGAAGGAGGAGCAGGGCTGGGCACTTTGGGGCAGGGGGGACACAGTGTGACACTTCAGCTTTAAGGGCTGATTTGGGAAGAGGGCGCCCTGCCTTATTCTGCCTGAGGGTGGAACTTGGACCTGGCTTCCGGGCAAAAGGAACCGGAGGAGGAGCCCAGTACATCTCGCTGTGGGGATGTCCCAGAAGGAGGACTCAGTAGGCTCTGCCCGCTGTGCGGGGATGGCTGTGGCCATCAGCCTTCCTCGGCGAGGGTTCCTCTCCCCGGCGACAGCGCCTGTGTCCTGGGTGAGTGTGGAGGGGCTGGGGCAGTGGTGGCTGGACTGGGCACCAGGGACATAATGCTACCGCTGACAAGTCCCCATTCCTTTTCTGGTGGCTTGGTACCCTGTCCTCAGGTCATTCAGTGCAGGCTGGCACTCGTGTGACGCAGAGGCTGGGCCTCCTCGCTTTGCACCTTTGAGCCCTCGCAGGCTGCTGGGAGATGAAGTGGGGGAGGGCAGGGTGGAGGCCAACCTGCTCCCATGCTGCCTGGCTCCTGGCAGGGACCGAGCCTGTGAGGGGCTCACACTGGGGAGAAGCAGCCTTTTGTCTTATTGCTTAAGTTCCACGTGTCCCCAAATGTTCCTTAGCATGGTGGACTCTGACCCCCCAAAATGCTCCTGTGCCCCTCCCACCACCCCAGCACATGTCCCTCCGGCTTCTCCCCAGTGCTAGCTGCACCTTTGGGGTGACCAAAAGCGGGGAGCCCAGGATGGGCTGAGGGGTTCCTGCAGAGCTGGCCGTGGCTTGCCCTGTGGTGGCCCAGTGACATCCACCCAGAAGGCCCCCCACATAGCTCCCTCTCCTCCAGCCAGAGCCCACCTACCAGAGCGCCTACCTCTCGCTGTCCTCCCTGGTGCAAGAGAACAACAAAAAGTCAATTACCGGTACCTTTTCTTTTAGCCTCCGCCGCAGCCTGTCTTTGGAAGACTGGAGCAGGGTGATTCTGGGCCGCTCTCCCGCGCGCTCAGGAGGGACACTGTCTTTGTGCTTGGTCTCTGCCTCTGGTCCCCCCGGAGGCTGTGGTGGCAGCCTCTCGGGAGCTGTTGGGGTGAGGGTGTCAGGGCTGCGGGGGGTTTCAAGGCCACTGTTCCTGGTGTCCCCTGGGGTGTCCTCAAGTTTGGGGCTCTCGATGGCCACGGTCTCTTTGGCATTACGGTGGGCTCCTGCCTCCCCCTTGTCCCCTGGAGGGTGCTTCATGCTGCTCTGGTACCAGCGCCGGTTCTGGCTGTAGCCGTGGTGGTTAGGCCTCCCTGAGGCGGGGGCCGCTGAGCCCCCCTGGTAGGATTTCTGGTGATCCCTGTTGTGTTTGGCACTGCCCGGCTGGTGGTCCCCGTGCTGTTGGGGCTTGTTCCCCCCTGGAGGTCTCTGCTGTCTTCTGCAAAGGGAAGGGAAAAGACAGAGAGGGGGGTCACTGGTGGGCCAGCCAGGGTCCCCGCATCTGAACACCAGAGGAGGAAGTCACTGCCTTGCTGCATTATTCATTCTCTCAAAAAACAATTATTGAGAACCTCCTACCTACCAGGCTTTGCGACAGAACGGCCAGACAGGTGGCTGGCATAGAGAGATTCGAGTTCCTCTTTCACTTAAAGTCCACATTTTATTCATTTAGTAGATGCACAAATACACTTGCACAGGGAACGAAATCTGAAAGATCTAGTAGAAAACACGGTGAACCCTCCTGCTTCTGTCGCCAGCCACCTGCTGTATCCTCTGGGAGCAGGGTTACCTGAAAAACCTCAACTGTGGACCCCATCCACCACCTCCAGAATGTGACCACCTGGAGACAGGGCCTTTAAAGAGGTGATCAAGGGAAGATGAGGATGTCATCATGTACGACCGTGACAATGGGAAGTCATACTCCATGTATGTATAACACGTCAAAATATATTCTACTATCAAACAAATTACAACAAATAAAAAATCAAATAAATATTTTTTAAAAAGTTCAGATGAGGATGTCACAGTGGGTCTTCATTCAATATGACTGATAGCCTTATAATGTGAGGAGATTTATTTTCTTCTCCTCCTGGTATTGGGGATTGAACCCAGGGCTGCTTTTCCACTGAGCTGTACCCCCAGCTCTTTTTATTTATTTATTTTAAAAATTTGAGTCGAGGTCTCACTAAGTTGCTGAGGCTGTCCTAGAACTTGGGATCCTCCTGCCTCAGCCTCTGGGAGTAGCTGGGATTATAGGAGTGTTCCACCATGCCTGGCTAGTGAGAGGAAACCTGCACACATAGCAGGGTGCTGCACACAGACATAGGACACAGGGAGAAAATGGCATCTGTAGGCCAGGGAGACAGGCCTTAGAAAAGCCAGCCTGGCTGACACCTTGATCCGGGACTTCCAGCCTCTAGAACTGAGAGGAAATCCATATCTGCTGTCTTAGCCACCCAGTTGGTGGCACTTGGTCCTGGCAGCCCTAGCACATGAATACATTTAACACGATGGTTTGGGGCAGAGAGGCTCCCAGTTATTTTGACAACACTTTCCCAATGAGGGAACAGCAAGGCAAACCTGAGCTCTGCACCAGGATGAATGACAACCTTTTGATTTGTGGACCGGAAGCAAGTCAAAGGGTGAGTGGGGTTGGGGTGGGCATCCTCACGGCTTCCAGGCCCACACCCGACGCCGTGTCCTGCCATTCCCAGCACTCGTGTTCAACCTCAATGTCACCCCCAGGTTTTCCATGCCATAAAGTCACCGGCAGTGCAGGTGGGGAACAAGATAGCCACACCCCTCAAAAGTCATGCAGTGGTGAGAAATTGGCAGAGAGATGTCACCTTCTCCAAAATGAGTCTCCACCTCCTATGTGACCTGTCTAGTGTACCAGGGGCCTTCACTGCAATTGCACTTTATGAACCAACTTTCAAGTGATTGCTTATTACTTAAAAAAACTCACTTTCAATGCACTTGATAAATTTTTATCTGTGAAAATTTGGGGGTCTCTTGGGTTGGGATTAAATGCATTCTTTCTTTCTCATTAAAAAATTAATGAAAAAAATTTTCCATTGAAAAGCTTTCCACTTGGTGGCATGGCTTCATTTATTTATTTATTTGGTACTGGGGATTGAACTCAGGGGCACTTGACCACTGAGCCATACCCCCAGCCCTATTGGTATTTTATTGACACGGGGTCTCACTGAGTTGCTTAGTGCCTTGCTGTGGCTGTTGAACCCGTGATCATCCTGTCTCAGCCTCCAGAGCCACTGGGATTACAGGTGTGCACCCCCGCGCCAGGCAGTGGCATGGTTTTAGATAAATTAAAATGGTCAAAGGAGGGACAGACATGTGACTTTTAGTTTCCACCCAAAAAGTAATTTACAGCACATTGTATATCAGGGGTAGAAGTTAATATAATTTTTCGGTGGGAAATCTGACAATTTGTTTCAAAAGCCTCTAATACATGCCCACCTTTGGACCTTGTTATTCCACATGTGGTAATGTATCCAAATAAAGTAATCAAAGATGTGCATAAGGATTTAGGCACAATGATATCTGTCACAGCCCAAACTGAACGTGGAGTAATTAAGGATGAAGCAAAATAGTTCACTCTTGCTGATGGAAGTATGGGGTCCTTTAAGGCAAGTACTTATCTGCATAGAAAAATCTGGAAGGATACACTAAAAAATGCTAATGGTGGCTATCTCTGGGAGATGGGATGTGGATTCTTCTTTTATTTATGTTTTCTAAATGAACATGATTTCATTTTCCGAAATTAAACTTTTTATTGCGAGGCAATTCTAGATGCACATGCATTGTAAGAAATAACGCACGGCTTGCCCACTTCCCCCTCACGGTAGGTAGCATCTTCCACAACCATAGCACAATGTCACAACCAGGACGTTGACAGCGAGACAGCCAAGATACAGAAACTCCTAGCACAGGGGCCCTCGGGGTGCCCTTTCGTAGCCACGCCCCCATCGCTCCCACCACCCCCATCCGTGGCCTTTGGCAACCGCGTATTCCTTCTCCACTTCTATACTGTGGAGGATGTTGTATAAATGGAATCAGATATTTCTGGGATTGGCTTTTTTCACTCTGCATAATTCCCTGGAGACCCACCCAGGTTGTTGCCTGGACCGGGTTTCTATTTCTATTTCTCCATTACTCGGTGGCGGTCCTGGATGGACGCTTCGCAGTGTGCCTAACCATTCACCTGAGGAAGGACATCTGCAGAGCAGTTTGGTCCTCTGCACAGAGTCTGCATCTCCCTTGGATCAACGCCCAGCAGTGCCGCCGCTGGATCCTATGGTGGTCACAAATCTAGTTTTTAAAGAAACCACCGTTTTCCAGAGAGGTTGCGCCTTCCTACCTTCCCGCCAGCACCGCAGGAAGGACTTCAGTCACAGGTCTGTGAGTGGTGCTTGAGACTCACTTTCTCCTGTTTGGGGGATTCCAATGGCATGGATGTCAGACTTTTTGTCACGGTCCCACAGGCCCCTGGAGCTCAGTTTGTTCCCTTCCAGTCCCTTGTCTCTGTCCCTAATGCTGGGTGATTTCTACTGTGACCTCTCTGGTTCATGGTTCTTTCTGTTTGTGCCCATTCGTTGGATTTTTCATGGAACTCTTAAGCTTCCATTTGGTTTTTCTTGACATCTTCTACTTCTTTGCCAAGACCTGAGTTTTCATGTTTCGAAGAGATTCCTAGGTGTTCTTTGGGGCGTTTTTGATGATGACCTGCTGTAACGTCTTTGGTGGATAATTCTAACCTGTCAGCTTGGTGTTGGCCTCTGTTAATCGTCTCTTTTCCATTCAACATTAAGATCTTTCTGATTGGGGGTATGACCAGCAATGTTCCATTGAGACCTGGACCACTGGGCACGATGATGAGACTCAACCTGTCCTAGCTGGCCTCCTCCAATCCTGCTCTGCCTGGTCATTGTGCAGTGGGGGTGGTGGTGATGGGAACTGCTTTGTCACCGCCCAGTGTGAGCAGAAATCCACCTTCCCTAATGGGCCTTCTTTGGCACCCGAAGGGGGCTCCTCATCATTGCTGGGCAGGAATGGGGGTTCAACTCGCCACGAGGCGGCCAGACACTATCTCAGCATGGACCGGGGCGGGGGTGGGAAACCTCCTTTCTGCAGGGAGAGGTAGGAATTCTTGGCTCCCCAAGTGGCCTCCACTGGCACAGAGCAAGAGGTGCTTTCGCCCCACAAGATGGAAATCCCACTTGGTCTCTCTGATACCATCCTAATGGCCCAGTCTAGGTTCTTCCATAAGTCTTCCCCAAGTGGTGGGTGGGGCCATGTTTCTTCTGGGGCTTCTTATTGCCTAGAGCGCTCCGTTCCCTGGGCCTTTGGCTGGAGTGACTCAGCTTTTGTTGGGGCTTCTTTGCTCATGTCTCCTGGTGTTTCTGGGTTTCTGGTTTCTTTAGATCCCAGTCTGGGATATAGGAAGCCAAGAAGAAAATTGAAAGAACTCATCATGGTGCCATTCCCCAGGTCGCCAGGTCCCTGGCCTGTCTGCCTTCCAAACATCTTTCAGAGTCTTCTTGTGTCTGTCCTTCCTTCTTTCCTATCTACTATCCATCCATCCATCCCTCCACCTCTATCTCTGCAGCAATCATGAGGAACCCCTTTGGGTGTCAAAGAAGGCTCAGTGCAGAATGTGGACCTCTGCCTCCACTGGGCAGTAACGAGACGGTCCTCCTTGTCCCTAGCCTCCCCACTGCATAATGACCAAGCAAAGCAAGACCGGAAGAGGCCAGCTGAGACAGGTGGGCAGACTTCACCATTGTGTATGTATATATATGTAGCGCCCAGGGTTTTTAGTGGTCTGTACCTACTCTAATAATCATTATAACAAGATCTATACAGTCTGTTACACTGAACTGGGCACCCTCAGGAGGCCTGTGTGGTATTTTCATCTTCATCATCCACGTTCCAACTCACTGGGTTCTGCTGGACATTCCCAGTCAAGCACTTTGCTGCTCGGACACTGGGAGTGGAAGAGGAAGCCTCCATCCCCCCAAACCCTCCTGTGCTCCCTGGCACACCTGAAATCTTCAGGCTCACTCCCCGGGTATGACTGGGATCAGGACCATGAGCATGGCACCCGGGGAGAGCTGGGCCCCTGTTGGCAGAGAGGACCATTGAGTCCGGCTCCTCCCAGTGGCCTCTAGATTGCCCAGAGCTACAGTAATGCCGTCCAGCTCTGGGGGCCACTCCCTCCTTAGGGAGCATGAGCCACCCACCCTGAGAAGCAGAAGCTCCAGGATTGCGTGGATGTGGCTCAGAGGTAGAGCCCTTGCCTAGCTACGGGTGGAGAGGTCCTGGGGTCATTCCCAGCACTGTCAAAAAAAAAAGGAACCCCAGGGTCCATGCCGGTTCCTCAGGGTGCCTTTGGTGAATTCATCCTCCTTTAATTTTTCA